AAAAAAAAGGAAATAGTTCTCACTCATCTCTTCATCTTGTCTAACTAGTCAGAATTGAACGTGCATTACACGTTATTCTAAAATACTTTATAAATGCTATAGAAATAATATTTGATGTCAATTTAAGAGAAGAAAATCGTACTCTCAAAACTCAACTTCTATGATTTCAAATTTTTGTGATGATGAAATACTACAAATAAGCAACATTTTTATACTACATTTGTTACATAAGAATTAATTATTAATACATGAATTTAAATACCCATTAAATTTCTTAGATACATGAATAAAATAAATTCATATATAATAACTCTATATTCATGCACATCAAGATTCATCAAATTAAAATTTATCAAATCAAGATTAATGTGAATATTAATTAATTGAAAATTAATAATACGAAATTCATACTCGACAAACATTTTATAGTATTTATTACATATTAAAAAATGAAAAATAAAGTATTATTGAAATAATTAAACTGTTGTAGACTTAAATATTATTCAAAAAATGATTCTCACTTGATGTGATATTTAATATATCATATGTTAAACAAACATTAAATAAAGGGCTCCTCTTACTTCAATACTCAAATTTTCAAATATGAAGCTAATCTTAATGAAAAATCTATAACTAAACGTTTATAAAAATTTTACATTTGGCCCTGTTTGAGCCACATTATTTTTTTCATTTTCGTTCTACTTATTTTTAACCACATTCTTCAATAAAATTATATTTTACATCACATCAATAATTTTTTCTTCTTTTTCAATCACATATTCCCCATCATATCAACAGTAAAAATACATTCTTTTTTCAAAAATGTGTACCAAACGAAGGCTAAATATAAAGAGAATTTTGAAGACACAATTAACTTTTTAAAACTTAGTTGGAAGCAACTACTAATACCCCGTAGGCCGAGGAGCAATGGAAGAATTCTTGCGAGGAGATGCTTGTGTTTGATTAAGTACTAGTTGGTGAGACAATAACTTATCAAGATAATAATCAGTAGCTGATTTGAGAGGATGATCGCTCGTATTGGATCGAGACACGGCCTCATTAGAGTCCTTATTATGGTAGATGAACACCAAAAGTCCTCATTTATAGAGTAAATGAACACCAAAAGTCCTCATATAAGTACAAAACCATACTATAGGAATACCAGTCTACGCCATGGCATTTGCTTGTTAAACCATACACTTATTTACACACAAATATTATTTAAGGT